TGATGATTGGAACCTCGTCTTGATGATCTACTAAGTTTACTAGTATTAAAATGGCCATAGTGTACATGGTTACACTTATGTTACTTAGGAGAATTATTCCCAAAGTGTACGATACGGTTATCTTAATGTGATATCTTCGTAATCAGGGGACCCCTACCCATGCTTACACTTAATGCGTTAATTTAGATAACCATGTGTAATCAGGTTTCATTCCGTTAAGAATACATGCGTCACTGAATTACTTGGAGTTTCGGGGCTTCTCTAATCAAACAAAAAAATTCTTTTATTTTTAGATATTAGATTTTTTCGTTATTTATGGTAAATGTTTCATTGGTAGGAGAAATTCATCATATGGTACGGTAACCTATGATTTCAGAATAATAACATTTCTCATTTCACAATCACACCCTGATATTGATTCGTAAAAATTACGTTACAATTAAATAATACTTTGCAATTTATTAATTTATTATTAATTAAAATATAATAAAATTAGAGGTCCATTAATATACAGTATACGTACTATTATTTATCTACATAAGGAGATTTAAAAAAAAAATCAAGCAGTATCAAAACTAAAATTTGTCTTTTTTACCGTAATGACCATGGACGACAGATTTGCATCCTTTAGTACTTATTGAAGTATTGCACTTTGTGATGTCATTGCAGCAACGAATACAGAATATGTTTTCGTCAGGCTCAATAATGTTCACAAAATTCTTGAACCCGGTACAATTTGCATGAAGAGGAGCTCTAATGTCATATTGACCTCCTCCGTCACTTTTCTTCAATTTGTATTTAGTTCTATCAATGGTACCAGTGACTTGGACGAAATCAGCTTCTTTCTTGAAAAACGCTGTCTTGATGAATCCGGAAGGGAAAATTTTGGCACCGGTTGCATTGGGACTGGATTTGGTGCAGAAAGGGATAGCATCCTGTTCGCTATTACCGATTATTTCACCAGGTTTTTTTGGAAGGAATATGCAGAATACAAATTTGCTCTCAACGGTTATTGACCGAGGTGGATCCCTTTTCACCACAGCAACACCATGGGCTGTTGCAATGACCGCGAAGATGAAAATAATTGTGGATAACTTGACCATTTGTGTAGTGAATGAGAAGGTGAAAGTGTTGAAGTTTTTTGTTTTCTTTATCTCAAAATAAAATTATTATAAATATTCCTAAGGTTGGAATAATTTAGAATTTTTCGACGGTTTATATAAGAAATCCATGGATAAGTAAAATCATTCTTTATAATACTTTATCACTAATCAATTTAATTAAAGAATCTTTTGTATTCTTTTACCGAAGAACATTTCCCCCGATACTTGGCGTTTCGGCTTGTCTAAAAACGTTAAGGTCATCAGATCAGTACATCAAACATGTGATTTTTTGATGTAAACCACTCTAAAAATAACCGGTAGCGTTAATTGCTCTATAAAGTTTGAATGATTAATTGACAAGTATTAAACTGGAGTTACTACTGCCTTTTCAAACATTCAAAAATTCCAGTTTCAAAAAAAAATTAGATCACGAAAAACTGCAATATTTCGCCAACAACTTTTTGGTGACAAGACCTCGATAATGCGTTTTTTATATGAGGCATAGAAGATAAACAAAGCATGCATTTCCACATATCTTATAAAAATAATTCCGGATACCGCCCAATTTTGCCACTAATTCTTTGGTGTGCTCTATACGTTTTTTTAAATATGTGCATTGTCAATCCAAAATGACGTTTCGATATGGAATAGAATTTTGATGATTGAAATACAAATTCGATCATTGGCTAATGATAATGATAAAAAAATAATTTTGAATTAACAAATAGAAGCATGAAGATAACAAGGGATCAAGTCCATAAGTTCCTAGTTTTTATCATTTCAGTTTGCATTCAAGTGCGGATTAATAGAAAAAGAAAATATTCAATTTTATCATTGGTTATTATTTATAAACTTGTATAATTTTTTTTAAATTATTATTCTCCCTAACTTTTTTATTTTTATTTATATTCTACAGTGGAGATCAAAATTATTGCATCACTTTCACATTTAAATTTAAAAATAAATTTTGTTATGCTAGCTTTCATAATTTATATTTTGTGAAAGTGATGCAATAATTTTGATCTCCACTGTAGAATCAATAATTATATTATTTATTTTTATTTATTGTTACTTTAAGTTATTTTGATTAAATTGTACATTACATCTCTACAAGTGCACATCCTCTCTATATGCACACTGTAGCTCGACCCCAGGTTCAGAACTTTGTGCCAAGTATACACAAGTAATTCTGAATTCTAGGGTACCGTGGCTCACAAAAAAAAAGGATCACCCGACAAAAAAAATTTAAATTATGAATATCTTTTATTTTTAATTATTGTACGACAATAAAATTTTTTTATTTATATTATCAAAATTAAAGCAATTCAATAAAGCATATTTATTAGTTTGATTCGGTTAATCTACAACTTTTCTAAATTTTTCTGATGCATTTCTTTTTACCATTTCAAATATCAATACATGTCAAATATTTATCTAAAAAAATGTTAATTATGACAAATCAACAAACTCTTTCAGGCATAATATTAATTAACTTGTTACAATAGTTGGTTTCAATGCTATCACATGCTGATTTTAGGTTTTCCCACAAGGTATCTCTATTATAAGCTGGGTTTGGATTATTACACACGTGTTTATCAACCTTATTCCATAAATCTTCAATTGGATTTAAGTCAGGAGATTGGGCCGGCCAATCTAATAAGGTAATGGAATCATCGCGAAACCATTTTTTTAGCCTTTTTGAAGTATGTTTTGGATCATTATCTTGTTGAAAAAAATATATGATTCTTATACAAATTATATCGCGAAAGTGTTGTTAAAAAACCACCATCTAATATTTGGCAATAAAGATCATTATTCATGATTCCTTCAATATTAACCAAATTACCAACTCCATTAGTTGTAAGCAGCTCCAGATCATTATTCCACCTCCACCAAATTTAACTGTTGTTGGTCTTTTAAAGGTTCTGTTGGCTTTTTCCAACAATATTGCTGCCCATCAGAATTAAATATAAGAAATTTACTTTCATCTGACCAAATAACTTTTCGCCAATCTTCAACAGTCCAATTTTTATATTTTTTAGCCCATTCTAATCTTTTTCTATGGGTTTTTTTAAATAAGGCCTTTTCTTTTTAGTTCTAGCAACTAATCCATTTTTTCTGAATATTCTATGTATAGTTTCAGCTGAAATAACAATTCCTTCATCAACTTTAAACTTGGATTGTACTTCAACAGCTATAGAATACTCTCCAGAACGAATATAACGCAAGAGTATTCATTCATATCTTTCACTCAAGGATTTTGAGCGACCAGATTTAGGTCGATCATCAAAATTTTCCAGTTTCATTAAATTTTTTACATATTCGTATAACTGATGATTGATTAACACCTTTTTAAGCTGCAACCTCTCTAGTTGAAAGTTTCATCTGATGAAGAGTATGGATACGAGATCATTTTTTTATTGATATTCGAGGCATTGAAGGTAAAAAAATATCAGTTTATGAATTCTTTCATTATAATAAAGCTTTTTATATATACTTTTATTTAACAATTATTTTATATTTTAATGAATGTAATTTTACGCAGTCTTTTGTTAAAAATCAGTAAAAAGAAATGCATCATTTAAAAGATCATTATATTTATTTATTATATTTACATAAATATATTTTTTTATTAATTGCATACAAAAGCGAAGTTTGATTAACTAACAATTAAAATGAATCAATTTTATTGTCGTACAATAACTAAAAATAAATGATATGCTTTTTTTTTATCCTTAAATACACTCACGTGATTAATTACCAATTAGAATTAATCGTCTGGTCACGAGTTAATTTTTTAATTTAAATAACTCCATATATAATGTAACTTTCAAAAAAAAAATATCAATAAATTTAACTATTAAAAATGATTTTTATATTTTTGCAAAAAAAAAACTTTTATATTTAATAAATTTTTAAGAAATAAAATATAAAATGTTAATTTATTAAATTGGTTATTTAATCCAAATTTTACAAATATGAAAACAAATATTATATCTTATTATAATCAAATCAAATTATTATTAGTTGGGAAAAATTCAAAAATAATCATATGAGATGATAAGAAAATAGAACATGTCAATAAACAAACTTATAGAAATAGAAAATAAATTGTTAAAAGTAATCACAAAAAGAAATAAAATAATAATTAATACTATTATGTATCTAAAATTAAAAAAATGAAATGAAAAATTTATACAATTTAAAATAACTTCTATTTATTCTCTATTAAAATAAATATCTATACTATCATATTATTTAAATAATATTGAAATTAATAACACATTTCTAAAAAAAATCGCTCTTAAAAAAATCATTATTATTGAAATTCAAAAGTGAGATTTTTGTATATATGGGAGCTAAGCTATTAAAATCATCTTACGGGACCCTACCAACTAAAATTGAGATTTTGATTCATATTATTATATGATATATGAACTTTATTTGGTTAAATTTTTATAGTCGATTATCTTATTAACAAAGC